TACAACTCCCAGGAGCCCTATGCACGTTACCTACACACAAAACCCTAAAACCCTAAACCCTAAATCCTAACGCATAAACAATCATACAACTCCCAGGAGCCGAGTGCACGTTACCTACACAGAAAAACCCTAAACCCTAAACCCTAAACCCTAAACCCTAAACCCTAAAGCCTAAAGCCTAATGTATAAACAACCCTACAACTCCCAGGGACCGTATGCACATTTCCTAGGCACAAAAACCTAAACCCTAACCCCTAAACCCTAGCGTATGAACAATCATACAACTCCCAGGGACCATGTCCACGCTCCCTACACACAATACTCTAAACCCTAAACTCTAAACCCTAAACCCTAAACCCTTGATTCAGAAGCTCTCCTAACTAACCCCGTCCTAAAGCCCTCAAGTGCAGAACCCAAGGCGCACTCGCCAAACCCTAATCGGCAAACCCCAAACCCCACTGCGTTAACCCTAAACCCTAAACCCTAAACCCTAAACCCTAAACCCTAAACCGTACGGCGTAAACCCTCGACCCCAACAAGGAAGAACGAGGTGGCATGGAAAGGCGCTGATTGCTGGGAAGGGAAGAAAGTGTTTAGGGTTTAGGGTTTAGGGTTTAGGGTTTAGGGTTTAGGGTTTATGGGGTCTGACCGTGGTATAAGGGGAGTCTGTCTATGCCGAGTTCCCCTGTGCTGTCTTCTAACAGATAACCATTAAAAGCCCTCGAGAGCCTTATAGCTGATGCAGACATATGAACAGAAGAAAACTGTTTTATAATTAATCGCTGAAAAGACTTGCTTGAGATAGGATATTTCTCTTGCACATATGTTGGCTGCCGCCGTGCATAATCATGAGCAGCAGAATCACCCCTGCTCTCCCCTTCCTGCTGCTGCTGCTGCTGCTGCTGCTGTAGCTGCTGCTGCAGGAATGCAACAGAGTCATACTGCAGCATTGGGGCCCCTCCCCCGCTTTCATCCTCAAAGGCATTGATAATATCGCTCTCAGTGTTGCATGGGTGGAGCTCTAGACCTGCGAACTCCTGCAGCAGCTTCTGCTGCTGCTGCTGCTGTTGCTGCTGCTGCTGCTGCGGATACAAGGGAGAAGAGGCATACTTCTGCAGTGATCCACTGGCGCTGCTGCTGCGCCTAGCTGCAGCAAACCTCACCGACAGCTGCGGAAGGGGGCCCCTGCTGGCTGCCCAGGTGGTGTTGTTGTTGCTGCCGCTGCTGCTGCTGCCCGGCTCTGCTGCTGCTGCTGTTGCTGCTGCTGCTGCTGCTGCTGCTGCACCTGCTGCTGCTTCTCTAGGCTCAACAGCGGAGACAGCCGCCTCGGACGGCCACTGCGTCGGTGAGACGAAGTGGTCGTCCGGCCTTTTAGCCCCCTCTGGCCCCTCCATTTCTAGGGTTTAGGGTTTAGGGTTTAGGGTTTAGGCTGCTCCGCCATACCTCTTCAGTCAAAATAGTCAAGCTACCACCTGGGGTTTAGCTGCTGCAGTAAACCCCTCTGCTGTACACCGGCCCCTCCCCGATAGGACAGGGGCCGCAGGGAAGAGGGGAGTGAGAAGGTTAGGAATTAGGGGTAGGGTTTAGGGTTTAGGGTTTAGGGTTTGTGTGGCGAACAGGCGGCGGCGCTGCGCGGCCTAACAGCCAGCTAATCGCCCGCAACAGCGAGGCGTGTGTTTCATATAATAGGTCTCTAGACCGGATAGAAAGAAAGCAAAAAAAACCTAAACCCTAAACCCTAAACCCTAAACCCTCAACCACGCCAGAGGCCCTCCAACTCCCCAGAGCCGGAAGCCATTCAGGACAAGCTCGATGCCGGTGCAGCTAGGGTTTAGGGTTTAGGGTTTGGTGGTCCAGTGGTCTCATCTGCTCTGCAGCTTAAAAAACGCCAAAAGTGTACAAATTCCTCAACGAACAAACCCTAAACCCTAAACCCTAAACCCTTTTCGGGGGCCCCGTGGCTGGTCATAAGTTAGGTCAGCAGCAGCCTCTAGAGGCCCCGGCCCGAGACGGGCCCCTGTTGCGACAGCCTCTAAACCCTAAACCCTAATCTCCAAACCCTAAACCCTAAACTCTTTCGTAATTTTACGATTAAACGGCTTAAGAGACGGGCAGCAGGGGCCCTGATTTGCCTTTATGGCTGCTGAAGCTGCCAGCAGCTGCAACAGCAGCAAACGAAGCAGCAGATTCGTTCATTGAGGGTTATTCTAGAAGCTAACGCTAATTTCAGGTGTACGTACACACCCACGTGGGTGCAGACGGAACAGCGGGAGCCTCTTTCTTTAAAGGGAGAGGCCGCTGGAGATACACCGCAGCAGCAGCTGCCCTTAGCGGCTGTTGGCTTGAAAGTAGACAAAAAGAAAGACAAACCCTAAACCCTAAACCCTAAATATACAAATAGCATGAAAGACGAGAGAGGAAGAAGCTGCCGCATGCACATAATACAAACAAGCAAACACACACACACGAAAGTTTGAGGTGTACATACAGCCCGAAACAGGGGCAAAGGACACTTAAATTCCTACAAAAAGCCAACGAGGACAATGCGTAGAAATACAATAAACGAGAACAATGCAAGAAGATAGACAAAAAGAAAGAAGAGGCAAATAGGGAGCCGTATAGACAGAGACGAACGCTGCCGACAAACAAACAAAGAAGACAGCATCTCCTTGTTTGTAGAGGAGCTTCAACTTTGAAAAGGAAATAAAACTCATTATAAATCTCGTGGGTTGTACATACACCTAGAAGCTGCACGTACACCCCAAGGCTGTAACAAACACTTGTTGCTGAATGCCTACGAATTAATTAATTATCTTTTGCATTCTGTTGTGCATTCAAAAGTTTGAATATTTCAGTTAAAATGTGTTTTCTTTCCCCCACCATCTGGGCAGAGGTGCCTATACACCGCAACAACGAGAAGCTGTTGTGGTGTATGCGCACCTCTATCTCTTCATTGCACTTTGAACTCATGCAGGAGTTCCCGTGCAGATTTATTTGTATTTATAATAATACTCAATCGACCAAATGCACCACTGGGTGCCTCTAAGCAGAGGAGATCACAAAAGCAGCACTAAAACCCTAAACCCTAACACATCAGAACCCCTGGGGGCCTCCCTGCTGCTTTTGCTGCTCCCCCAGCAGCCCTCTTAACCCTAAACCCTGAGCAGCAGCTGCAGCAATTCAACTCTCAGCGCCTGGAAAGCTGCGCCAAAAGTAATGCCGCTGCACCTGCTCAATGACTGTTAGAAGATTCTCGACGCGAGAATCTTTCTCCTCTTTCTCCCCCACCTGCATACACCAAACCCTAAACTCTAAACCCTAAACCCTACGCCAAGGGCCCCACACTTAAGCTGCTGATTCGATCGCCTGAACAGGGAGTGGGACATCTGAGTGATGTGGTGAATGAGGTGTGCGTACACCTCAACCCTGAAAAACTCTAAACCCTAAACCCTAAACCCTAAACCCTTCTCGTTTACCTCTGCTTTTAGTCTGGGCAAGTCGATGAAGCCCGCATATTTACGTCCAATGTACAGACACCGTAAGACAAGGAAACGACAACGAGAGGATATCTCCTCTGCTAATAAATCTTCAATCAAATGAACCAAGTAGAAGTGCAGCAGCTGAAATCACAGTGTACATACACTCCATGTATATATATATATATATGTAGGTGAGTTATATATATATATATATATATATATATATATATATATAACTCACCTACATCCACGCGCTCTTGCTGCGAGGGTCTAGGGTTTAGGGTTTAGGGTTTGTTGTTTACCTCTTCTGCCTCTGTACCCCGTGGCATTGCTGCTCCGCTTTCTGCTGCGGCTTCTCTCCTGAAACATCAACACCCAAGGCACCCTAAACCCTAAACCCTAAATGAATGCCCTCGCGCTTGTAACCCCTCCTCCTTCACTCATACTAAACCCTAAACCCTAAACCCTAAACCCCACTCACGCAGTTTCGCACTCGTCCACCGCTCCCCTGAAGACCGTCTCAATATACTCGAGATAGCTCCAGGAATCTGCATGGACACGCGCCTAAACCCTAAACCCTAAACCCTTAACCGTAAACCCTAGCCCCCCCAAAGCAACCCTAAGATGAAGCCAAAGACCGCCCTGCTACGGCTTAGGGGTTAGGGTTTAGGGTTTAGGTTTTACGCACCTCGCTCCTCTGGGTCTGCTGAGCAAAGCAGCTGCAAAACCCTTCCGCGTTTTAAAATACCAACTTTGAGGAAGGCGTGCAACGTCAAGGCAGTCCTGTATAATAAACGCTAAACCCTAAACCCTAAACCCTAAACCCTAAAGCCCAGAGGCTGTATTCGAGCTCTCAAGGGCTCACACTGCCGCCCTGCGGTTTTGCACTGGAGGGAGTACGACGGTTTGAGGGGATTAGGGTTTAGGGTTTAGGGTTTAGGGTTTAGAGATTGAAGCCTTCCGGCTTAGGGTTTATGGTTTAGGGTTTACCTTTGCTGCGAGGTGGTCCAGTACTTTTGAATAGCCTGCAACACGGCGGGGTGTATATCGACCTGCTGCACCAGCTGCTGCTGCTGCTGCTGCTGCTGCTCTTCGGGTGTCTGCTCAGATTGCGCTGCATAGAATGTGAATGCCTGCGCATAATTTGAGAGGGCCCGATGAAGATGTGTTTGGGTTTTACTCCCCAAAGAAAGGAGACAAAAAACAAACAATTTTATTATATCATCTGGAGACCAGGGGGCCCCCTCTGTGTCTGTGCTGCATTGTTCGAGTGCATGCAAAGCAGCAACTGCCCCCTGTCTTCCTTCTCCCTCATTGTCCTCCTCTATAGACTCGTCCCTTGCTGCTGCCGCTGCTGCAGCTTCTGCTGGCTCGGCTGCTGCTTCTGTTGCTGCTGCTGGCTCGGCTGCTGCTTCTCCTGCAGCAGGCTCGCTGTCTGCTGCAACTGCTGCTGCTTCCGATGCAGTAGGCGCGTCGGTTGAATCTGCTGCTGCTTCTGCTGCTGCCTCGGGTGCTGCTGCTGCTGGCGCTCCGTCGGTGTCCATGGCGTCCTCAGTGCCTGAACGCAGCTTCAAAACCCTAAACCCTAAACCCTAAACCCTAGGCATGACCCCGATGTAACGATTTGTGTGTACATTGCAACTTGAGGTGTCTGTACACTGCAAGGAGGGCGCTGCGGGTCTTTCTTCTTTTTGCATTTCGCTTAATTGTTTGTATATAATTATTTGCCTCACCTGAGGAATGATTTGTCTCCTTTTCAGGGTTTTGTTTATTTGAATTTGGGGGAGGTAGAGAGCCCTTGCTCTTGTGTCTCCCAGTGATGGCCATTAGGAGTCTGTACACCCCAACGACGTTCTCAGCTTTTTCTTCATCATCTTTAAACGAGAACCGCAGCATCTGCCGCAGCAGAGAAAACTCTGCAACACCCACAGGGAGGGCTGGGGGCCCCCCAGAGGGGCCCCCCTCCTCAGAGGGGCCCCCCTCCTCTGAGGGGCCCCCCTTTTCACCGTTGGGGGCCCCAAGGGTGCTGTCTCCTTTAGACCCCCCAGGAGGAGCTGGAGTCAGACACAAGTAAGGGTTCTGAGGGACAACGCGAGGAGGCAGGAGATCCTTTACGCAGTCAGGGATAGATAGGGCCTGAGGAGACAGTAAGGAGACAGACAGGAAATAGACAGGAGATAGGAGGTAGAGAGGAGACAGATAAGAGACAGACAGGAGACAGAAAGGAGACAGATAAGAGACAGATGGGAGGTAGAAAAGAGATAGGAGATATAAAGGAGACACCAGAAATACAAAAAGGAGACAGCACAGAGGCAGGAATTACGCAAAAGACAGAAAGGAGAGAGAAAGGAGGCAGGAGACAGAAAGGAGACAGAAAAGAGACAGAGGGAACGCAGGCAGGAGACAGAAAGATGATATAAAGGAGACAGAAGGAAGATGAAAAGGAGACAGAAGGAAGATGAAAAGGAGACAGAAGGAAGATGAAAAGGAGACAAAAAGAAGACAAAAGGAGACACAAAGTGGAAAACAAACAAATTAGAAACAAGGGTTCCTGTGCATGCACGCGGGTGTATAGGCAGGTGCCCTAAACCCTAAAACCGAAAACAAATGCATGCAACACCTGACTCTGTTTGGCCTAAACCCTAAGCCCTAAAATCCATACCCTTAAGCCCAAGCCCCAAACCCTAACCGGTATACCCTAAACCCTAAACCCTAAACCCTAAAAAAGACTTGCCAGTGCATCTGGATAATTGATTCGCATTGCCTTCTCAAGAGAGAGTTTTATAAACAACTTTGTTGGAGGGGGGGCCCTACCGAGGCCCCCTAACTCTTCTAACAAGTTGCTGGGGGCCCCCCACACGTTAAGCCAATACCCAAAGAAGTCCGACAGTGTCTGCAGAGACACCCGAAGACACCTAAACCCTAAACCCTAAACCCTAAACCCTTTCCATTCTCGTGCTGGTCGAGAGTAGGATGGTGTACTGCAACTGAGACGCCAACCACCAAATCATGTTGTGCATAAAAAACAATAATACTGCTAATCGCATGCATGCATGCATGCATACACCGCATGCATGCATGCATGCATACATACACCGCATGCATGCATACACCGCATGCATGGATGGATGCATACATACAAAGCATGCGTTCATACACAGCATGCATGCACACATTCATACACCGCATGCATGCACGCATTAATACACCGCATGCATGCATACACCGCATGCATGCATGCATGCATGCATGCATGCACTGATTGGCAGTAATGTTGAGGAACGTACGAGAAGGGTTTGATGATCAATATCAAAGGAGCGGCGAAGGAGACTGGCGAGAAGAGCCTCAACAACAGAATTTAAAGAATTCTGAAGTTGGCAGAGACGATGCAGCAACCGTGCATAGGTAAAAGGTGCGTTGGAGGCCTCCTTTATAATCACAAAACGGGGGAGGCGCAGCATTTCGCTGAAGAGACACTGCAGCACATACCAGCAGCAGCAGCAGCAGCAGCAGGAGAAATACTACGAGGAACGAAAACAAACATTAAAATACAAGACAAAAAATCAGCACCCCACGCAATACCACCGTCGTTTTCTCCCGTATTCAGGGTCTAGGGCTTAGGGTTTAGGGTTTAGGGTTTAGGGTTTATGCGGACCTCAACAAGCACATAATCAAACTGCGGGTGATCTACCGGCACGCGGAGGAGTTGTTCAGCACAGAGCGAAATATTAGGCAAGAAATTCCGCAGAGTCGTCAGGATATAATCCTCCAATATCCTACAACCACACAAACCCTAAACCCTAAACCCTAAACCCTAAACCCTAAACCCTAGGAGGTTCTACACGCCGCTTTCCACTGGTGGTGGGAAGTAGAACGATGCTTCAAGTGCTGCAAAACCCTTCTTTACCCTAAATATTAAACCCTAAACCCCAATCCCTTTGCTGTTCGTACCGGGGGGGCTGCCCACCCGTAAACCCTAAACCCTAAACCCTAGACCTCTCCACTGATTGTGGAGAGTAGA